ATCCTCCTCCCCCTTACTCCCTCCCACCCAGCCCCCACTCCACCACAGGCCTTCACCAGACTATTGTCTGTGTCCATGGGTTATGCATATATGCATATAAATTATTTGGTTAATCTCTTCCAGCCCCCACCCTTCCCTCTGAGATCTGTCAATCTGTTCCATGCTTCCATGTCTCTGGACCTATTTTGTTCATTAGTTTATTTTGTTCATTAGATTCCACATATAAGTGAGATCATGTGGCATTTATCTTTCTCTGACTGGCTTATTTCACTTAGCATAATCTCCAGGTCCATCCATACTGTCTCAAAGGGTAACAGACCCTTCTTTTTTACACCTGCATAGTTGTCCATTGTGTAAATGTACCGCAGCTTTTTAAAAAAATTCTTTAATTGTTCAAAGTTTTACATATGTTTCCTTTTTCCCCTATTGACCACTCCCAGCCCACTCCGGCCTCCCAGCACAGGCCCTCACCCCTTAGCGTCTGTGTCCATTGGTTATGCTTCTATACATGCATATAAGTTCTTTGTTTGATCACCTACCCTTCCTCTCCCCTCCCCTGCTTCCTTCTGAGGTTTAATGATATTCGATGCTTCTATGTCTCTGGATCTTTCTACAACTGGCTTATTTTGCTTAGCATAATGCTCTCCATGCCCATCCATACTGTTGCAAATTATAAGAGTCCTTTCTTTACTATAGCAACATAGTATCCCATTGTGTAGATGTGCCACAGTTTTTAATCCATTCATCTGCTGATGGGCATTTTGGCTATTTTCAGATCTTAGCTATATAAATAATGCTGCTACGAATACAGGAATGTATATATTCTTTCTGATTGGTGTATCTGGATGCTTAAGATATATTCCCAGAAGTAGGATCACTGGGTCAAAACACAGTTCCATTTTTAATATTTTGAGGAAACTCCATACTGTTTTCCTTAATGGTTACACCAGTCTGCATTCCCACCAGCAGTGTACTAGGGTTCCCTTTTCTCCACATCCTCACCAGTACTTGTTGTTTGGTGATTGATGGTAGCCATTCTGGCAGGTATGAGGCAGTATCTCATTGTGATTTTTAATTTGCATCTCTCTGATGATTAGTGAAATCAAGCATTTTTTTTATGTCTACTTGCCATCTGTCTGTCCTATGTGGAGAAGTGTCTATTCAGGTCCTTTGCCCATTTTTAAAAAACTATACTATATTGATTTTTTTACAGAGAGGAAGGGAGAGGGATAGAAAGCTAGAAACATCGACGAGAGAGAAAAACATCAATCAGTTGCCTCCTGTACACTAACTACTGGGGATGTGCCCGCAACTGAGGTACATGCCCTTGACTAGAATCGAACCTGGGACCCTTTATTCCAAAGGCCTTTGCTCTATCCACTGAGCCAAACCGGTTAGGGCTCCTTTGCCCATTTTTTACTGGATTGTCCTTTTGTTGAGTTGCATTATATATTTTGGAAATTAATCCCTTACCAGATATATCATTAGCAAATATGTTCTCTCATAGTGGGATCCCTTTTCATTTTGATGATGGTTTCTTTTGCTGTGCAGAAGTTTTTTAGTTAGATGTAGTCCCATTTGTTTATTTTGTCCTTTATTTCTCTTGGCCTACGACCATGGTCGGCAAACTGCGGCACGCAAGCCACATGTGGCTCTTTGGCCCCTTGAGTGTGGCTCTTCCTAAGCCTTAGGAGTACCCTAATTAAGTTAATAACAATGTACCTACCTATATAGTTTAAGCTTAAAAAATTGGCTCTCAAAAGAAATTTCAATCATTGTACTGTTGATATTTGGCTGTTGACTAATGAGTTTGCCGACCACTGGCCTAGGAGATGTATCAGTGAAAATTCTGCTACGAGAGATGTCTGAGTTTTTATTGCCTATGTTTTCTTCCAGGATTTTTTATGGCTTCACGATTTGCATTCATGTCATTTATCTATTCTGAGCTTATTCTTGTGTATGGTTTAAGTTGGTGGTGTAGTTTCATTTCTTTTAACGGTTTTAAGAAATTTATTTTCTATTTTTCTTTTACAGTTATTTTTTAAAATTTATTTTTATTGTTGAATGTATTACAGATGTTCCCTTTTTTCCCCTTTGACCCCTTCTAGCCTGCCCAGACTCCCTGTCCGCCCGACCTGCCCCAGGCCTTCACCACACGATTGTCTGTTTCCATGGGTTATGCATGTGTACATATAAGTCCTTTGGTTAATTCCACCCCTGCCTTCCCACTGAGATTCAATAGTTTATTCCATGCTTCTATGTCTCTGGATCTGTTTTGTTCATCAGTTTATTTTGTTCATTAGATTCCATATATGAATGAGATCATGATGTTCATCTTTCTCTGACTGGATTATTTTGTTTGGAGGGAAAGTGACAGAGAAAAAGAAACATCAATGTGATAGTTTCATTTTTAATTGTATATTGTCCATCTCCCCTTGGATAGTAAGTTATTCAAGGACAGGTATTATTGAAAATACAATACAGCACTTAAAACTTTGCATATAGTAAGCCATAGTAATTAATTTTTAA